GGGGGGGGAGCGGGCGAGGAAAAGGTCCACGACGACGTCAAGATGATGACGGAATGTGGCCCTGCGCTCCGGAACACGGCAGTAACAGCGGAGCAGCGCCGCCGCCGCTGCTGCTGCTGCTTTTAGACCCTCTCCCTCTCGCCAGACTCACCGTACAAGGGCCCTCGCTCCCGACCTGTTAAGCGTCAAAGTCGCGGGCTGCGCGCGGCGCACGGTGCGGTGGCTCTGCCGGCCCATTGTCAACTCGTTCCTTGTTAGCGCGAGGCGCGGCGGCCGCAACCAACTTGACTTCACACTTACTTGGCTTGTAACTTTCACCAAGACGGCGGTAGGACGGCGCAGCAGCACAGCACGGCAGGAAGATGGGAGGGCCGGGCGGGCGAATAAGGGTATCGCACAAAACTGCTCACCTCAGCCGCGACTGCCGACGCCGAGCACCGCGACCACCAACTTTACACTACTTGCAAACATGATGGCAACCTGCGGGGAAGAATAAAATCAAAAGACACGAAAACATTATCAAATTGATAATGTGGGTGGGCGCAGTGCAGCCATTCATCACCCCGATTGTGATTGCGATTGCAATAATAAGACGGAATAAAACAATGTGGAGCCCATTAGCACCAGAGCCGATTGAATCATAATGGCCGAGCGCTCAGCAGCCGCCCCGACCGGCCGAAATAAAGCGAAGAGGCCGTCGCGGTGGAAAAGTAGGGGGTGAGGAGAAAAAAAAGGGGGAAAGCCGCGGAAAAAGGGAAAAAATGGGGAAAAATAAAAAAACAAATCCGGTCCGTAACGGCGGTCACTCGTGGAAACCAATAGGCCTCGAGCACCGATGTCTCCCCGCTGCCGTTTCGTTTTGGTCCGCCGAGCAGCGCCGCGTGCGGAAATTAAAATCGCTTCCCGCAATTTCGGTTGCCAATTTGTTTCCCTTCGCTAATTCCAGGCGGCCGCCCCGCATTTCCTCTCTTTTCGCAGCAGCAGCAAACCTCTTTCACTTCTCTTTTTATTATTTTCCCGCACCCCCTTTGGCCTTTGGCGTGCGCCTTGGGAAGGGAAATGTTAAGTGTAAAGGAAGAGATAGGACGACGGTCGGATGACGAGCGAAGAGGACGACGAGGCAGCCGTCTGCTCCGCTCGGGCGCGCGTCCCGCTCCTGAGCTCCGGCGAGAGCATGACCAGCACCAGCCTTCGGCCTAGTATAGGGCCTAGTATAGGGCCGGGCGGCGCGCCGGGCGGTCTGCTGCCCGCCAATGGACCAGCAGGCTCCGGGCCCGGCAGAGGGAGGTCATCATCTGCCAGAGCATCATCAGCCTCTTGTATTCCATTAGGTCTGCCCCAAAAGGGGGAAAGGGGGACAGCGGCGCGGGCGGGTCTGCAGGGGCGGGGGGTGGAGTGGGGAGGGTCGCGGGGCTGATGGGGTCGAGGGGCTGAATGATTGATGCTGTGCAAAGTTCGCCCCCGCCGTCTCCTCGGGGGTCCTGCAGCAGCAGCAGCGGCCGTCCCGTCCCGCCAGGTGGGAGGAGGGCAGGGACATGGGGCGGCGGGCGGGGCAGTGAATTTTAACCAGAGTATTTTCCGCGACGGCGACGCAGAGCAGCGGCGTCCGGGCCCCTGAGGAATCTGCGCGCGCGCGTACAGCGAGAAGGGAGTGAGAGAGAGGGGTGGTGGAGGGGTTCAGCGGGCGAGAGCACGGGGGATGAAGATGTCGCAACACTCCGCCACGCTCCGCCGAGGAACGTGACACGAGCGAACAGTTTGTGGCTCACTTTCGTGAGCGCGGAGGAGAAAGGAGGAGGAAGGGGGCTAAAGCTCCCCGGTAAGGGGGTGTGGGGGAGCATGAGGTGAGGGGGTTGGCGAAGGAGAAAAGGGGGAGCAAGGGGATGGGATCTACGAGGCTAGAGATAAGGGGGGCCCGGGCAAAAAGATATGGGGGGCTCCGCATGCGTAGCGGCGCGCGTGTGGTGTGTGCTACACCCCGCCACGCCCCGCCCCGCCGCGCCCGGCTAATATTTGCTCAACGACGCGTACAGCTCGCGAGCATGTCTGTGTGTGCGAGAGAGTGCGAGCACGTGTGAGAGAGAGATTCGAGCCGAGCCGAGCCGGGGAGCCGGCGGAGAGCGGGACGTGAAGTGGAAGTGGCTCGACGGCGGCGGCGCGGTGAAGTGGCGTAGCGGCGGCGGCGGCGGCCCTTATTTTATTAACGGTGGCGGAGGTTCTTGTAACGCGGTTATTACGTGGTGCCGCTTCACTCTCCAGAGCCGCTCCAGAGCCGCCCCAGAGCCGCTCCAGGGCCGCTCCAGCGCCCCCCGGCAGACAGCGCGGCGGCGCGGCGGGGTAGCGGGGTAGCAGCGGCGGCAGGCGCACAAAAGGACAAACAAATGGTGACGGAGGCCGAGACGGGAGGCCCACGCATAGCATGAGGGGGGGTAAAGCGAGAAAGAGAGAGGGAAATAGGGAAGAAATGAGAGGGCGAGTGGGAGAGAAAGAGAGAAGAGAGGGCGAGTGAGGCCGCCGCGGCGCCGCGCACAGCAGGCCGCGGACCACGTGTCATAACATGCCACTCCGCACACAATCATAGTCCTTTATACTCCCCTCCGCGCCACGCCGCCAGCGGGTCGACGGGCGGAAAAAAAATGGAGAAAAATAACGGGCGAAACCAAAGGCATAAGGCCCGCGGCACGTGTGTGTGTGCGTGTGAGTGTTTGTTAGAGATGCGTGAGGTGTGCGTGTGTGTGCGTGTGGTGTGGTGCGGTGTATGAATGCGAAGTAGGGACGCAGTCGGGTTGTTGAGCCTCCCCGCCCATTCGCGGGCCCCAGTCTTTGGCGGTGTCGCCGCCGTGCGCGAGGGCGGTGCGGGGGCGGCGGGTGGACCCCGAGGGTGCGGTGGTACGGTATCTGGGCCCGCACGCGAGGGGTGACCGGCGGCACACAGATCATTAGGCGGCGGCCCGAGGCCGGGGCTGAGGCCGGGGCTGAGGCCAGGCCCACCCTCGGGGTCCGCGCGGACCAGGCTGGGGCCACCCCGAGGGCTAATGGCCCTGGCAGCCGGACACGCAGAGCCCCAGCCGCTCCCCGAGCCGCCGCCCTCGGGCCCCAGGGGACACACGGCGGCCGCCCGCCCGCGAAAAAAATAAAATAAGGGATATCATTCTGCCGGGTGGTGTATTCGAACCCGCCACGGGCAGCAGCTCCCGGCCGCCTGCGGCAGGGCCTGCCAACACCCCGCCCACCACAACGCCGCGCCCCACACGCCGCGCCCTCGCCCGGGGCGGCATAGGGGAGCGCAGGGACACAGGGGGAGCGGCGCCGCCCGGCAGAGGGCTTGTCCAGATTTCCTGCGCGTCATCCCCTTGCGGTCCGGGGACCCGCCCGGCGGCCATCCCCCGACGCGCCTGCCTCCCCGGCTGTGCCGCGCCGCTGGTGGGGTGGCGCGCGAGCAGGTATATATACGACGGATTGCTGTGCCAGAATGACTTACGTGGATTTCCATGTAAATGAGGGCTGCTGGCGCGGGCTGTGTGCCGTGACGTGGCGGTGGCGGTCGCGAGTGCAGGCAGGGGAGATGTATGGCCAGCGCCCGGGCCGCGCAGCAGCGCTTGGCCTTCTCTCGGTGCAACAAATTCACCGACTTTATTTCATTTGCCGGGGGTGGGGCGCGACGGCGGCGGCGGCGGCGCCAGCGGGGGCGGCTAGGTGGGCGGGGCGCTGCCGGGGGCCTCTCTCTCTCTCTCACGAGCGCGTCGCTGTTTACACTGTAAACAATACGCTTGTAACCTAATTCACGGCCGTAACGGGGAGCACAAATGTAGTTAGCCGTGGAGTGAGGCGGGCGCCGCCGGGCGAGGTGGGGCGGGGTGGGTGAGGTGTTCCGGGGGCGATGATGGGCGGGGCGGCCGCGCGGCCTGGGGTCGCCGCCCCATACCCCGCGCCCCGGCCAGACCATCTGAAAGTCAATGAGGTCCCGCGCCCCGCGCCGAGCCCTATAGAATATGGCTCATGCTCCGCTTATGGCAGAGTTATTTTGCCGAGCTTATCCTGCTCCCCGCCTTGCTCACGAGCCCAGCGGCGGCGGGCAGGAAGGAGATGGAGGTTGTGCGGGTGGAGGCAGAAGCAGAACCACCCCTGCCGCCACTTGGCCCGGAGGAGCGGCGCCGCGACGTCAGACACAACTGCCAGCCACTTTGTCGGCTCCGCCCGCGCCACCTGCCGCACGCCCCTCCAGCGGCGGCCGCGCCGCCGCCCCGAAATAATATATGCCAGTCCATTTCTTAATAGTTTGCGGGCCGGATGCGCCCAATATGCCACACCGCCCCGCCAAGCCCTCCCGCCGCCCCCCGCGCACACTTCTCACCGCCCCAGGCCGCCCCTTTTGCCTCGCACGCGCTAGGATTTCGCTCCGAGGGCTATCAGCGATATTTCATACGGGGGCTGCGAAGTTTGGTGACGTATATAACAGTTAAGGGACCCCGAGCGGCACCGCCGCCACACAGTGCTCAGCTCAGCCCCTGCCTCCGCCGCCCCGGGCCCTCCAGGGGCGAGGAAGGGGTTGCCTCTGCCCGCCCGTCCTCTGCACAGATAGGGAAGGCACAAAGGTGAGTCGCTCACCGTCTGCTGTCCTAGCAAGGCAGGTGGATGATGGCGGTCCACGCAGCAACACAACGGGGTGAAAGACCTTTGTCCGTAGCCTGCCAACAGAAAGTTTATGGAATCAACACAAGGGTCCTGTATATGGGAGTGCTGGCTGACGCAACGTTCATAAATATACATTTGAGGAACTGAGTCGCTTGGCTGCTTGTTTCAGGGGACACGACAAATATCTCAGAATAATTGAGTCAACAGGCAGTGTTTGGAGTGGGGTCGAGTTGTCCCGACATTGACAAGGGGTAGTGCTGTTGACAAATGTAGAGGGAAATTAAAAGCTCATATTTGCATGGAACATAGAAACAGGCCAACATTTGTAAGAAGTAGCAAACCTTTGGTAAAAGTTGGTCATGGGTGTATTCATTCATTCATTAGGCCAATGATTTCATTTCAAGAAGCAAGTCAATCTAACCTTTCCATTCTGTTGACACCATCCGATCAAAGGGTGTCGCACAGCTCGTCAATTCACGTTGGGCATTGAATATTTGACCTGATAACAAACAATACGTCGCAAACCAAAATTAAGTCATTCCCTAACTAAGAACACATAGAACCTAACCTTCACTTACTTCCAGTACATGCCTTAAATTTGGAAAGTAATGAACGTCACTTACTGAACAAAAACAAAAAGGAAACTTCTGACAACACCTGCGAAGTGTATTAGAAAAAACTTTTTAAGGCGACTCAAAACGCAAAGAGAAAAACTCCGGACAGGGAAAACAAGTAGGAAGTAAAAAACAACATTAAACACGAAACCTTCCCACCCCCACCAACTGTCGAAAACATAATTTTAATAACTTCAGTTTTCTGCTCACATGCTCAATATAATGCAAGAGAAGGTTTCTAACAAAGTAAACTATACTGCTTCATTTTTTTTTCAATTTCACGAGTTCTACAACTACGACAATTTCTCGTTATTTATTTTCGTTTTGTTCTGTTGTCCGACCCGGAAAGAAAGAGGAAGAAAAAGATGGCGGTTTGCGGACAGCCGTTTGCGACTTTTCGTATTTTCCTCCAATATTTTTTGTTAGTTATTTTTGACGAGTGGAAAAATCAATAGTCTAGTCAAAAGTTAAAGAAAACAGAAATGGAGGACCAAAATCTAGGAAGATTCTATGGCCGCCCTCCTCAGCGGCAAGTACAACCAACAGAAGCAGGTGTGTGTTCATTCCTTTGTGTCTGATATAACCTAGTTTATTCGAGTCTTGTAACATTGTCTTGTCGAAAAATTATATTACTGGATATAATCATTTGTTCGGTCACCTGTCGGTTGAAATTTCTTAGCATTAGGAAGGTTTCTCGCTGGGTCTATAATTTTAGGTTAGGTCGTCGTCTCGTAGAGTTACTCGAGGTCGTGTATGTCGAACTGCACGCACTGTTAAATTAGTAGATTTTGCCAACTTTTCGTGGCAGTTCCTGTACTGTTTTTCTTACTTCTTTTCGAAACGCGCAGGGCCGATGTTTAGTAACGTGACGGTGGATAAAACTCAATGTCCTAAATCTCAGAAGCGCCTTGCTCTGAGGGAAACTGATGACCTTTTCGTTTGCTAATCTTCGTTGCGTTGCGTTCGCCCTTTTGTGTGGTACTGGGATAAGAAAAGCGGCGTTTTAGACGACAGCAATTCCTTATACCCGGGAGAGGTAAAAGTTTCAGCGCTTCTTGTGAAAACCAGAGTGTGCACCTGGCTCGGACCCTCCAAGAGCGAGGAAGGGAAGGACCAGGAAGAGGGGAGGCTGTGCAGCGGTGGTGGGGGAGGATGGTTGGCGGAGCCCTCGCCTGGGCAGAAAGGCCCGTTTTCACCCAAGAGCACGACGATCGAGATCGTCGAATCGTCCCACGCCACGGCCGAAGTCATTCGGTGGCATTCCGAACCGAGAATGAAATCGGATCGTCGTCGTCGTCCTTTTGTCGAGTATTACCACGTATATATACCCCACCCCTTCTGTCCTTTCCCTTTTCTCCCCCGCTTCCCATTCCCCACGGCTCAGCCCCAAAGACACTTTTCTCGTTTCCTCGCTCGAGTTTTTCTCCTCGGCTCCTCGGCGGCGACGCTGCTCTCCCAACACGTCTTTGACACGTCCACGTCGTCGTCGTCGTAGTCTTGCCGGGAGCGGAGAACTCCCGTCCCTCTCCAGGGCGGCGGCGGCAGCGCGGCATCGGGGGCCGGGGGGGGGGGGGGGCTCGATCTGATAACGGGGGGTGGCGCGGCGTGGCGCGGGGACACACACAGCATCACTCACGCACACACACGCACGCGCACACAACTACGACGGGCAAAATGGAGGGAAAAATTGTGGAATGACGTTCCTCAACCCCCGTTCTCGCCCACCACCACCCCCTTCTCGGAGTGGATATGGGAGCACTTTGTGCGGCGCACGCCACGCCGCGCCACGCCGCACGGAACGCCTAGTGCCTTGACTGACACTCCCCTTCGCAAGATAAGCGACGTGCATTACACACACGCGCGCACACATGTACACACACTCCCTCACACACACACACGCACAGCTCACACACGCTCTCTCTCACACACACACACGCTCACACACGCACGCAGGCGGCGTGGGGGCGGGACGCAACCGCAGCAACTTGTATGTGTGGCCGCCTTACACGGCGGCTTCCTCGGGATAACAACTGGTGGCGCACGGCGGCGGCGGCGGCGGGGGGGAAATCTCGACATAGCCAACCGCGGCGGCGGCGGCGGCTGCGGGCGCGGGGGGCGTCCTGAAGCGCGCAGGAGCACGCATATTATGGAAGTTTGTGCTGCTGTTGAGAGGTTCGGCTCGGCCTCGGGCTCGGCAGTGTCCTGGTCGCTCTTTCATCGCCGCTGCCGCTGCCGTTGGGGGAGGGAGGGGGTCGCCCAGGGGGCTGTAAACTGGAAAAGGGTGACTCTGCCCCCTGCTCCCCCCTATCGGCCCCCCGCCCGGCCGCGCCGCGCGTCGTTCGAAGCGCCTATCGGAAACAGGGTGGCTGTGTTAGCATATTGCTCGGGCTGGGCCAGCGACGGCCTCCTATAGGGGAGATGGGGGAGGGGGTAGGATTGATGGTCAGCTCCACAGGCGTGCGGGGAGGAGGAGGGGGGAGGGGGGCTGGCCGCCCGCACGGCAGCATAGGGCGGCGTGATAAAGTTACCCTACAGAGAGAAAAGAGGGCGCCCACCCCGCCCCGCCCCGCTCAGAGAGCAGCGCGGGGAACAAGCTTCGTCACTCTATCCGTCACGTCCTCCGCAGGGCCGCCGCCGCCGCCTTTTGGCGAGGCGCGCGAGAAACGTACACGGGGGAGGAATAGAAAAGAGAGAGGAAGCGAAACCCCTCCTTGTGCTCGTGCACGAGCGGGCACGGCGGCGAGGGGTGGGCGCGGTTGTTTCCGTGGAACTCACTTTCAGAAAATGCTGCTGCTGCTGTTGCTTGTTGTTGCTCTTGATTTTGGTAATATGCCCACGACAGGTACCCGCTCTTCTCGGTATTACTATGATGCGGTTTGACGGCTCCCGCCGCGACCCGGGCGGCCCAAACTTGCTCACGCTTCTGTTGTTCGCTGTTCGTCGAGTGGGCGGGTACACGGCGAAAGTATAAGGGTGTGCGCGCGTTGTTGGAGAGACCCTAGAGCACCGGGAGAGAGAGAGGTGGGGGG